AAAAACAGAAAAAACCTTGATAGTTAACTTAACATGTTTTTCTTAAGTTTAATAACTATTTTAAGGCATCCTGTTTGGATATTTAATCGTTTAAAACTAATAAAGTTATCAGAACCATGGACAGCAGCCACCCGGATATAAAGTTCAGCAAGTATACAGATATCCTCATGAACACACTTCAAGTTCAACTAGATTTAAAATCCAATTTCCTATGAAAAAATTATAATGTTGCACTTTTTGTTACATTTCCTTCCTTTTAACACAATAACCGTATTTTTGGCACAATATTTTCTATTCAGGTAAAAGCCTGGCCGTTCCTGAGGAAAAACGCGACAACCACACACAGGCCACGGACGGGAACACACGCACACATACACAGGACACCAGCGGCCTGGTGGGAGACACACACAAGCCAGAACGGGAACTCGTCACCTTTTCTGTTGTAGCGATGGTCAGATTTGGTTTCCTTCGCCGCTGTCCCCCCACCGACACCGAACAACCTCGGCAGGACGGCAAACGTGAAGAGCACCGCCGTGAACGCCAGGGCGACTTGTTGAGATGTTGACAATACCATCCCTGCTGCTGGGGAAAATAGCCGAGGAACAGCGCCGAGCACCGGGCACAAACAGCAGCAAACAGCGCTAGCCGCCAGTAAAGAGCAACTAAGCGGTGAGAATGCGTCTGGAATCAGATATAAACTGGAGTTATGAGAGAAGTAGGCGACGGAAGCTGCCCCTTGCAACTCTAACACCAAAACAGCTGCGCTCTGTTGCTTACACTGATTACTTCCGGATTAGGAACCTTCACAATAAAAGCTTCTGCTTCAAAACAAATCTTTAAATATGGACAGAATTTTGAAGACGGCATACTTGCATCCATTTATTTAAACTTAAATTCAAAATTATACCAATGACAGATTTTAGTTTCAAATGTTTACTAGTTCATTCAACAAGAACCTGTTTTCTGAAAGGAAATGAGAAAGGCGTTTCAGGACACATCGGAAAACATCAGATACCTAATATACAAGTTTCAATAAGTAATGAAAAAATCTTTATTGACATATCAATCAAACCCTTCTTTTAGTCTTTATGAACTATTTGCATGCTTCCATGGTATTTTGACAGAGTGTCTCTGACGATTTCCAAGCCGTGTTATCACCTTATTTCTTACTGACAAAGGTTCTTGATCAGATTCAAGTCGTAAATTTGGTTCGGCCACTCCAAAATTTTAGTAATTAAAGTAAAAATCATCTTGGAAAAATAAAATGATAGATAGATAGATAGATAGATAGATAGATAGATAGATAGATAGATAGATAGATAGATAGATAGATAGATAGATAGATAAAACGTTTTCAAATGTGAAGATATCAAAACATGATGAAGACTATTTTTATGCATTGTTTGTGACATATTGCTTAAAAAACAACTAAAACCAATAAACTAAACTAAATCTAATAATATATTAAGAAAAAAAAAGTCAGTACAAAATATTATTTTAATTTGAAGGTGTGACTCTTAGACATCCGGAGTCGGTGGATCAACATGTTCTTTTGCTTTTTGTTACCATAGCGCTTTATCACACTACAGGAGACTGCCCTCTGCTGACCAAAAAAAGAAAAAAACCTTAAATGCACAATGGAGAGAATTAAAACAAGTGATGTGGAAATATAAAAGAAGTCGTGTGATACTCTAGACAGCTGACAGAAATGTTGTACAATGCGGACTAATCACTCATTAATTATATATATAAGTACAAGTGAATGGCTGGTAAAGTGTGTGTGTGTGAGTGTGTGTGTGTGTGTGTGTGTGTGTGTGTGTGTGTGTGTGTGTGTGTGTGTGTCGGGTTTTGGTCTGAGAGGCTGTACTAATTAGTACTTGGAACTGATCCATATTAGTTTTATATTAGGTTTCAAATTAGTTATGTTATTAGTTTCTGCCTTTATTTTCCTTTGCCCAAACGTAGATCACCATGAATCATCTTTGACATCATTAACTTGTATGTCAAGTACAACATTCCTCTATAGTGGCAACTGCTATAGTCGTTTGTTTTCTATGACTATCTATGTTTTTGTTGTTGGTGGTTTTTCTACACAGCAGGCAATGTGTAAAAGACTCAAATGCTCCAACAGACATGTCTTGCTGCCTATTTTTACTGTTTCCGTCTGATAAGAACAAAACAAAAACACCTTACTGAATGATTTGTCTTCTTAAGATCATTTTAAGAAATTCTATAGCAATGAACCAGATTTTAAGAAATAAATATATTATGTCAATTAACTCTATTTTTTGTTGTTGTTGAATCACTCGTTCTCTTTTTTCAACCATTGCTAACACTATAGCTAAGAATTCCAGGCACATCTGGTTCTTTTTATTGGATCTGCTGATTAAATTGGTTGATGGGATCTCAGACTTTATCTTGTACTAAATTATTCTGATGATAATGCAAAAACATGTCGATAACTACTGAAATTTTCACTTTTGGTTCATCATTGATTTTTGTTACAGTGGACTGGCTTAGCTCAACCGCTTCATGTTTTAACAAGGGATAATAAAGGAAGTGTGAATAATAATTAAACCTGTAGCTACAGCCCAATATGGTAGGAGAACAAGATAAGGTTGTAAAAACAGGGATGGTGTTATCAGGGTATCAGCTTTGACAGTTAAGGATGGCTCAGCAAACAAGTGACCATTCTCTTCCTGAACTCGTGGAAACTTGTTGAACCCAACAACTTTTTATACACTCCTCCCCTTTATACGCTTGCACTCTTTCTCTGAATGAGCCGAGAAGGACTTCTTTAAGTCCTTTTTTGTTAAAGGACTTAAAATTTTAAAGATAAAAACTTTTGAGGAATTAATGGTTGTTGAAAAAGATCAATAAATGACGAGGATAATGTTTCTTTTGTTTGTCTGGCATTGGAACGTTGTTCGGAGAAAAATTCATAAAACGTTTACGGTGGTTTAGATATTTTGATCATGATTACAACACTGAAAAATATCTGTATGTTTAACAGTAATAACCAGTCAAATTGTGACAGGAAAAATTAGCTAAATGTAAAACAATAAAGAACTGTTGAAGTTACCGTGAAGAAATTAAATCAGTGAAAACAATAGTTTGTTTGTTTTATATTTGTGCATTAATTTTCTAAGTTGTTTTCATGTTACTCTTAAAACATTTTAGCCTTAATAATCACCAATAGCAAGGCCATCCAGCAGTGAAAGAAAATAAGCAACTTTACCCATAATTCTACTGTGTTTTACCATAGAATTTATGTTTTCTTTTTAAAGTGAAGGCTATTTTTAGGATAATTTCTATACTTTCAACCTGAATTTATTTCAACAGAGATTTCAGGAAGTACGGGATGGAAAAAGTACCACAAGGTGAAGCAAGAGGAGTACCTTCAGCCTCGATGAAGTATTCATAACCTTTCAACTATTTTACGAACTTTTTAATATTCTTTTACGACCCTAAACTGTGTGGAATGGATGAGGCAGCACTTTGTTGAAAACTTACTGGTACAAATCTTTTGTTTTACGTCTCCATCAGCTTTATACATCTATACCCACATTTTCCTTTTTTGTCATTTTGCCTACATGACTTGTGTGATAAACTGCAAATGGGACCTGCTGAACAAAACCACACAACGGATTATTTCACAAGTCGAAACAGAAAAGCCGTCTCCAAGAAACTATGTACACCCTGTTATTGAACAGCTTGTACTCTTGGTATAGAACTGGGAGAACTATTTTTTATTTTATTTTATTTTTTGCTAGCATATTGTTAAGCAATTACAGTTAACTTTTACAGCCCATGTGCCACGACTGAAAGGGATCACTAAACCTTTGCCATCGTGTCTTATAGCTCGTACATATATATAGTCCTTCCTGATAAGCTTTGTTTGCAGATGGCTCTGTGTATAAAGATTAAAACAATCTCTAGTCATAATTTTGTAATGACTTACCCTTCTGACTTTGTGCGAAAACAGATGTTTCTCTATCAAAATAAAAATACATGCATAAATAAACGAGGTCCTGTGTGGAGGTCTTTTTACTCTGTTTTGTGTTATTTTAAACGCGAAGAGAATCGATCTTTTTTTTCAGCTTTTGTCTCATAAGCCTGACAAATAAAAGTCAGTCAACAAACACAGGTTTCTAACACGTAGTGTGCATTTATAATTTTTCATTTCTGATAAAAGGAGGATGGAAGCTGGCCAATAGCAGGGCACAAAAATAAAGACTTCCTGAAAAGATAAGAGTGTAAACTTTTTGGTCAATCCCGTTCTAATGTAAAATGACAGATTACTGGATTAAAGAAATGTCTAGTCTACTATCACATATAATTTTTGAGAATTTGGAAACAGTTGCTTTTTATTTCCCAAAGTTATATTATCCGACGTATAACTTAAGAAAAGAACAAATGCCATATGGTTTCTTATCAGCGTTAAATAAATTAAGTGAGCAGGAAGAAACCTTATGGATAGAAAAATGTTGTACAATGCGGACTAATCACCCATTAATTATATATATAATTATTACTCCTTTTTCTCTCTCTCCATTTGTGCCTTTCATAAGTAAAATTCTAATAAAACACCACAAGAGGTCCATGCACTACAATTTGTGATTTAGCATGCAGTTCTGCAAAGTTCAAGTTTGGCTCATATTTGTTTTATTTACGCTTCTACACACAGATGGGAGTTAACATTTAGATGACACAAAATTTCAGTGCCGATCAGTAAAAAAAAACAACAACAAAAAACTACCAATCAGCTGCTGGGATATTTTTCAGCTAATAAATGGTGTCAGAGTTGAGAAATAAAATTAGTCATGAAACAGACATTTTTTCTTTTGTAAACAAATATGTATCTATTTTCTTTTAAATTAAAAGTAGTCATAAAGGTTGGTTGTGCGTTTATCGGAAGCGGTGTGAACATGCAGGGCGTTACTTCGTGACCGAAGCTGCTCTACGGTTTTATATTATCTCCTCCTGGTGTAGGAACAAGTTTATCTTCAGTCGCCGCGTTGGCTCCGAGTCCCGAAGAGAGAAACACGCCTCACCGAGTTTCCTGTGGAGGATAAACCGCATCTTGTTGAAGGTATGGACCGCGCAGACATGTTCTTAAGATAATAACTTAGCTATACTAAAGCTTCAACTTTTACAGTTATTAATGTTTTTTTTTATGTAGCAGGGTAATTAATGCCACAGTTCTACAATCAAAACCTATCATATATATTTATATCTTATCCTGCATTTATTAATCAAACTTTGAAAGTATGACAGAGCAGTTTTAAGAAATAATGATCTATAATAAATAGAACAGAAATAAATGACGGTATAGTCGCGGCGTTGTTCCTTTAGTTTATTTTTAATAAGTTGGTGGGGGAGGGAGGAGATGCTCGTAACCTTCGTAAATTAATTCACGCAAAATCACAGGGGTCGACGTTTTTAGCCTTAAACGCATTAAATGTGATGAAGTTTTTTTTTTTTTTTTAGTAATAAAAATAAGGCATGAGAGCGCACTGACTTTTTTTGTTGTTTGTTTAACTTTTTCTACTATTAGTAGAAGAAAACTCTTAAAGTAATTGTATTCTATTGAGAGCGCATTCTTCTATTTTACAGCTCGGTCTGAACATTATCAGCTATTTTTCTTAACTTATCTCACTCCCTAAAAATATAGTCTTGAGTCAGATTTGTTCAAATTTCTGAAATAACACAGCACACGCGGTGTATTTCATAGGAGCAGCACGCGCTCCGACGCGCTCAGTGGAGGCGCACGTGCGCCTCCACTGAGCGGTCATTGTGAAGCTTCACGATGCTTCTGATTAAAGTGCCATTCCGTTGCATTGACCTGCATTTGTTTATCTCTCTTCCGAAATCTAAAATAACTCAGAATTAACCGACTGAACTACAGCGGGCAGCATATAAAAAAACCCGACACAACGGTATATTTCCTCCTGAACAGTCAGCACGCACGCGCGCAGCCCCTTTCTCTCTTCCCCTCCCAACTGATAATTTCATGCCTAACAATATTATAGATTGTTCACCTCCATAGAAGAATACTTCTGTATATACAAAGAAATACTGTTTATGTCATGTTGGTGTATTTATTGACTAGTTCCTTCTCCAGTCAATGAATGTTTAAACTTATCACACACACCAGCTCTTCAGACACTCCCCGCCATCTTTGGATCATCTTGAATAAACAGCCTAAGTCGATCGAACGGCCCTAAACGTTATCTTTTATTGTCTTCTATCTTAAAAAAATAAAACATTATGATTATTTTTTGTGTGATTTCCTGGTTGCAAACGTAAGATTTGCCAAAGGTGTTTTCGTAATAGCAGTTCAAATAAGTTTGTCAGATATAGCTTAAGTTCGATATTTCAACGTTTGGTGCCGCTTTGGTTTTTGAAATGTCCTTTAAAAGTAGCTTTTTTTGTAGTTTATAAGAAATTTAATTTACTTTCAAAAAGTAAGATGCTAAATTAGTGGCAAAACTTGAACATCTGATTATTTCAGACAATCAAAGTTAAAGTGGTGGCACGTTTTTAAGGATGAGTTGGTCATCAAACCATTTTAAATATTTTTTTAATTGTTTATAGATAAAGCTTGTCAAGAGGAAAAATGACTGTTACCTCTATGTCTAAATAAATAATGTAAAAAACAATGTAATGATGAGGAAACTGTTATTTAACTAAAAAACTCTCAAAACAAGGTTAAAGTGCAGTGAGGCTGCAAAAACGGGATGTAAAAGTTAATCTTTATTGGGCATTTTGAGGTCAAACACCAGGTGATTATGGGTTCTTCACCTCTACAGGTCAAAACGGGGATAATCACAAAACTGCCTTTTTATTGCTTCTGCAATAATCAGTAGAATAGCTCAAAGTATGACAGCAGCACTTCTACAAAAGACTTTGTGTCAAATATGTTTGCATTTGGACGAGTTTACCAAAGACATCAAGCAAATGTTGCCTTAAGGCAGACAGGTGCGTTTTATCTTCTACATCATAGAGGGACAACAACAGTTGTTGCTGTACATTAATCTGGGAAGGGCTATGAAGACATTTCTAAGTAATTTCATTTAGAGATAACAAAGAAACATATTCAAAATATTTTTAAGAGCGGACATTCTAGCAAATTCAGACATGTTCGGTCAGTTCTAACATAGACCTAAAAATATATTAAAACTAATAGAGAGCTATTTAACATTAAATATGCAATTGGATTTTTTAAATTATTATTATTATTATTGCTGGGCATTTTGAAGTTCAAAAACCTGTTGATTTTGGGTTGTCGGTAAAGTACAAATGAAAAGTCCAGAAAAACATCAGTGTCTCCTACGATTCCTCTAGAAAGACATTCCAATTTGGAGAAAAGCGTCCATCTTGGAAAATACACAATTCCGTGCAGCAAATTTTAATCTGGAGTTTCCTGCTTTTACATTTAAATGTTTTACATGCAAGCACCTCACAGGCTTAAAAAACAAGAAGAAAAAAACCCACTGTCAACAGCTGCAAGATTAGGAAACTCAAATGTGCACCAACTGGTTTTATATTTACTTCTTGGGAAAAACGATCTGTTATATAGTTCCATAGAATGACATAGCAATTTCCTCTGCAGAGGAGAGAGAGAGAGCAGTTTAAAATTTGCTTAACTGCCAGCTGATAGCATGTCAAGCTTTCAAGCAAACTGAAACAATTTTTTTTTCTTAGACGAAGGTGCATTTATTTTGTTCTTTGTTTCTTTTGCTTTTTCATATCAGTACTGTTTCAGTACAAAGATTTCTTTAGTGAGTTTTTTATGGGGGAACAAAACACTTTTCCATATTCAGGAATAACTTTTCCAAGATTGGGGAGACCGGGGTCCTCAAATAAATAACTTTAATCTGACAAATGAACAGTGGAAGTCAGTATTACAACATGTGGACCTGACAGCTGATTCATTCATGTTACTATTTTTTTTGTGTTCCACATCTCGTCAATAATTATACAGAACAAACATGACAAAAAGGTCAAAGTTAAATATAACATTTTGCAGTATCTGGGAAGTACATTGAGATGTTAACGACAATGTACCAGTGACTTATAGTAACTTAGAAGGTCCCTGCTTCTCTTGTTCTTAATTTTAACTTCCTGTCTGAGGTGTGATGCTTTTGTTTTGAAAGAACCATTTCCTGTTTATCTCTTAGTGTAAATGTAGCTCAACGGCAATCAAAAGAGAAAATGAGTTGTAAAGGAGCTTAGAAAAAGCATCTTGTTATCAGCCCTCTTGATAGAGACAAAAGATAAGTTTTGATGACACCTAAAATAAACTGCTCTTAAACCTAAACATCACTAACGTCCTTCATTCAGGCAGGTATGCTACAACCTTTATGACTAGACTTGATTACGACACCTTTGCTTCTTTATCACCCATTTCTCTAATCCCCTCAACACATGCAAGTCTATTAAAGGCCTTTCTGTCTTCAAAAACACAAACAGTAACAGTGCCCACATGGATAATTGTTAAATTGGAATCCGGAAAGTTTCGGCTAAATCCGGTATCCTGGTTTTCTGAAACAATGGTCTGTTCTATAAAGATTCATATTTTGCCACCTGCTTATCAATTCTTTTGTAAAATCAAAGAGATGCAATAGGAAAGGCAACATGTGGAAAAAGAAATGAAACACGGACGTGGCATCGTCATGCTGTGGAAATATTTTTTTGTAGAGGAATGCATGTGCTGTCAGACCGATACGTGACGACACATGAATATTTGTCTGAGCTGGTCAAATATGTCAGCACTGACATTAAAGAAATAAAAAACAAATCCAAAGAGGGGAAATGCAAATAAGCACATTTTGCCTCCTGCCACCTCCTGTGTTGTACCAACCTGGTCAGAAGGCACATATTGCCCAGAAAAAAAAAAAAAAAAGATTCCATTGGGTGCTTCAATAGAATTGTTTAACTCAAATCGTATTCAGTTATTGGAATGACCTAGTCAAAGTCCAGATCAGGGGTGTCCAAAGTGTGGTCCTTGCAATGATTTCAACCACAAGTAAAATAGCTTTTTAAAAAATGGTCACCAAAACAAAACAATTGTCCCCCCCACCCCACACACACAAAAAAGGAAATAGTAAGGCAACAGTCTAAAGTCCCTTTTGTGCTCAGGATCTTTAACCATGTGCCAATTTCAGAAAAAAAAATTGTTAATTATTGAGCAGGTAGATCTAAAATCACAAAAAAGCATTTTTTTTTTTTGCACTTTTCGTAGCTTAGAAATTTAGAAGTGTTGGCCACCAGGGCAAAAAGTTTGGACACCACTGGTCTAAAGCCAATTCAGAATCAGCGGTTTGAAAACTGAAGTTATTGATGTAGAAAAACTATGACATAAAACTAGAAATAGTAATTTAACAACAAATGTAATTGACCTCAGAGTATTCATGGAGTAAATAGTAGATAAAGAAAGTTGTGTTCATTAATGAGTACCGGAAAAAAGACATTGTTACCCAAATTACGCCATAATAAGCTAATCAGTGAGAACAATGAATCCAAATTTCTCCTCGACTATCAAATTCATTTTTTTGTTTTTAGGGAAAATGGAGGCCCAAACGTCCAAGGTGGTGCTGTCTTTGAACGCTAAAGAGGTGGACTCGCTCAAAGACGGAGTGAGCTTCAAGAAAAACCCAGAAGACGGGAGATGTTACATCATCTACAAGAGCAGCGGCGGCTTCAAAGCCTGCAAGAATCAGTGCAAACACCAAGGAGGGCTGTTCATCAAGGACATAGAAGACCTGGACGGAAGGTGAGGCCATTTCTCCACAACGAAACAGCAGAGTTGAGATGACAAGACAATTTCAGCTGCTGTTCTCACAGGACGGTGAAATGCACCAAGCATAACTGGAAGCTAAACGTGTCGTCGATGAAATACGTGAATCCGCCCGACAGCTTCCTGCAGGACGAGCTCGGTAAGATGAGTGCGCCACATTCTATTTGCATCGGTAATTAAGTCATCAGTGGCTTGTGTGTGAATCGACAGTCGCATTGAAAAGTTATAATTTTGTGGCACATGCAAACACCAGCTGAATCATGATATTTGCTTAGGTGCTGGTGCTGAATGGTTCTTTGAATTGGGTTATGGAAACAGAAGCCAAACTAAAACGTTTCCAATTTCAAAAGACGCTCTCGAAATCAAGTGTTTGGCTTCTTCCAGGTGTCTGACTGCCACCAGGAAATAAAATAAAAACTAATATCAAAAGACGAACACATCAAAAACATGAATACAGTTTTGCATGGGTTTGAATTACAGCATGGAGACAGTATGTCCTCCATTTTGAGTTACCTCGTCTCTTCTTACTCGAGTCAAATTATCGTACTAGTCAAATAATGGACTCCAGTAAAAAGTAAAAGTAGTTTAGTCAGTTTATTACTTAAATCAAAACTACTGGAGTATGTGCTTTCGAAAATACTTATATTTTTGAAGTTTTTGAGGGTAGTCAGGAATATTTGGGAATATTTTCTACCAATTTGGACAGGTCATAGATTGTCAACAACAAATTAGTCTCTTTTTCTTTCCTAGCATTTCTTGACACTTAGACTCTTTGTAGTTTCAGGCGTTATTCACTCACATCACCATCTGTAAGGCAAGACCCAGTAGGACAACAATGATTCCTCTCTAAACTGGTTGAAAGCTGCATATCGCCACCTGCTGTTCAGGGGGTGTAGTTTGTAATTTTATTGTGTGTTGGTGGAACAAAATAAAGAAAATACACAAATGACGCCAGTGGAAGAGAAATGTAGTGAAGTAGAAAGTATCGAGTTTCAAAAAAAAAATTCTCAAGGACTATTTTAAGTAAATGTACTTTGCTACTGCCCACGTTTGCCTGTTTTTCTCTTTGTTGATCTGTGAAGACTTGACAACATATGCAGGGTATTCTTTGATTATCATTTTAAAAAGGAATCAGCCAGTTTAAGATTATTTTTACTAAAAGTTAAGCAGAAAACTTATAATAAAGTGGCTTTTGTTTTTTTTTACGTTCACAGAAGTTGAAATGTTGGATGATGGAGGGATGCAGCTGGTTGAGCTGAGCCCCATTGACCCCTGGCTGACTGACCCCAGAGACCCTCTGGAGCTCCAGGAGGGAGAAGTCAAAGTAAGAGCTTTGTCTTTCTAGACTTTGAGAGAAAACCCCAAACCACCTAGTCCTAAAGGAATAAACGCTTTAACCTTCCCTTCCAGATAACATACCTCACCCACGCCTGCATGGAGCTGCAGCTGGGACAGAAGCGCTTCCTGTTCGACCCCTGGCTGATGGGTCCTGCCTTCGCCCGCGGCTGGTGGCTTCTCCATGAGCCGCCGGCAGACTGCCTGGACCGACTCTGTGCCGCAGATCTCATCTACATCAGCCACCTGCACTCCGACCACCTCAGGTAGACTTTGGAAGCATTCCCTGTTGCCATGTCCAGATATATTAGAGCAGGGTTGTCCAAACTTTTCCCCAGCCAGAATCATGTCAAACAACTGAAATCAAGCAAACAAAGTAGTCCAATTTCTTTTGTTTGGGTTTGTTTGGCACAGACCCAAAATTTCAAAAATATATATTTTTTAACGTTTGCTGTGTTAAAGGAAAAGTATACAGTTTTCAAATTCTTTTGGGCTCGATTGAAAAAGGATAAGAAGAATCTCTGAACAAACTTCCAGTTGGTTTGGGGTCTGGATTTTGACTAGGCCCCTCCAACACATGAACTTGCTTTTATTTAAACCGTTGCCATTATCGTTGGCCTTGTTACCCAACACCTAACCACATCTTTCCTCCCATCAGCTCTGACTGGCCTCCTTTTGACTGCTGCAGACAAATGTTTCCCCAGTGATGGTTTTGTTCTGTTTGACATTTTTATCATGGCAGTAAGTTCAACCGAGTGAAGATTGATAGAGCGGAGAAATTCAG